TTTAAGGAAAAAATTAACAAGCACCCGTGTAATACACGGGCGTTGTACTAGTATTAGTTGGAATTTGAAATAATAGTATTGAAATATTCGTAGAAATTTTTATTTGGAAATTTTTTTTCATGAGAAAAAAGAAATGTATAAAGATAATGTATTTTCGAAAAAAAAAAAAACATTTTTTTTGGATTACAAGCATATATATATATAGCTAATGACGAGCATTTTGTAACTCAATAAATGGTACAATGACATAAGTATTAAAACGTACCCCAAAACCCCGAGCGAGCAAAATTTGAGCATGATGCCCGTTGTAAATGGAGGAAGTTTTGCCTTTCTGCAAGCAACGTAAATAGTTTTTTTGATAATAAGGGTAATTGTGTCATTTCACATAACAAAATGACTATTATGTCGTACGTCTCCAAAGAAAAAATGACTATCTTTTTACAAATTTTTTTAATTTTATTTTTTATTTTTTGGTACAGGACCTTCCGGTTTCCGGATCCACAGGGGAACCGACTAATTCAGAACCGACAAATTTTCAAGCTACGACATGACCAGTTAGTGATATTACCACTTAAATATGTTTGGAAATCGTTACGAATATATAATCTGATAAATTGAAGTATTAATTATACAAAATACCATGAATACATTCTTTATATATAGATTGTAATTAATAAATTAAGGAAATGAAGATGAAAAAATATATACCTATAGAAAATGTAGGCAAGAGGAGCAACTACCAAAGCAGAAAGAGCATAGGTATAGAGCATGAAGATGTGATAGCTTAAACCCTTCGACACCGCCGCGTTGAATATCGTGCTGCTCGCCACCGTCGTGCAGCTCGCCACCACCATCGCCACAAACGGCAAAATTTCCCGACGGATATAGTTTCCTCTTGTTATAGCCATGGCTGATCTCTTATATTTTCTTGAAAAAAAAAAAAGTATGAGAGATCTTTTATAGGAAATGAATGATTGATTGAAAGTTTGAAAGAACGTGGAGGGAA